CAAACCTGTTAGTGCCCATTTTTCTTCTGCACAACACATGAACAAAAGAAAAGCAGACACAGCTATTAAGGGAAACTGACAGGAAGAGAAAGTGGGAAGACAGACAATGAGTTGGGTACCTCTGCAAGAAATAAAAATAATAATTACATTTTTTATTACAAAACCAGTATACAAGGATTTTTAGCTTTGCACTAAAAAAATACACTGAAATACTCAACTAAAAATATAGCTCATAATCATCCACATCCAAGTACTACTAGTAGAGAAGGAACAGAGGAAACATAATGTATACATCCACTCCATACAATTCCTGCAACATTCAGTACCTCCGTAAGCAGCTCAGTATAACTTTGTCCAGATTCCATAAACATAGGGTTTTTTAAAATCACATGGAACTGATCCATTGCAAGCTGTTTGTACTGAATCCATGATTTTAACCTTATAGCTACAAATGAAGTGTATTTATAATGACATGAACAAGATGTGCCCTTTTCACTTGATTTCAGTATCTTACTGACCCTTTGAAGACTGGAGCAGAATTGCTCTGAAATTGCTGATGCTTAGCAGCGAAGCTAGGTGGTAAGCCCTCTCACTTTTCGAATTAAGACAAAGCATATTTGGTTTTGCCATCCTGGCTTGCTGCATTGTCCTAGTCATTGTTATTGTAGATATCCAACCATAGCAAGAAGAGCCCTGATCAATATGTCTTTGTTGTGTAGACCTGAATTAACTACATCTCACTTTCCTTTGACAGCAACACAGATCACATGCAGCTGCTGCTTCCACTATGAGAAACACGAATTCTGGAAAGCATATTCATTATCTGGCTGTTAAAAGCAACGGAGCATGCAAGCCTCACCCTGCCTGGGTTACCTGAGAAATCAACATCTCCGTTTGATTAAGTGACTGCCAGCTAGTCACCTTCTCACTCTAACCTTGATGTGGCAGGACTGTGACAAGTGCATATAGTGTAACATCACAAAATGTTTCACTGATGCTCACAAATAGATAGCTTAATTTGTTTTCATAGCCTGGTCCCTTACAGCATTTCCACTGCAAACTCTGGTTTTGAGGACAGAATATATCAGCTCTTTATATGGAACCTACCTGAAAGCCAGCTGGTAGGAAGCCAGGGAGAATCCTGATGAGGTCCAAAGCTCTCAGTCTTTACCCAACTTACAGCACTTAATAAATTCCAAAGGAATTCCACCACACCACCATTTTTTTAGTTGTAGGACTCAGGATCAGAAAAAATGACTTTATAAAAATTACAGCTCCTTAACAGGTCTTCTGTAGCTGAGTATTACTTGTGTACTAAAAAAACTCTGAATGAGTTTCCATTTTACATGCAGAAGCAACTAAGTCCATATAGGGTGAAGTCTGATTTTTATTTCACTCATTTTGCAGACATAACAGCTGCCAGTCGCCAGCTCCCACAATGTTTTCATGGGTCTCATAGTATTTGTTGCTTTTTTTCCAGTTGCAGCTGCTGGAGTAAGGTGGCCACATAGAAACCTCAGTTTTTACACAAGAAAGAAAAATGAAACCTCTACAGTTGCAGAGAGGAACTCAAAACTGAAACTTCATTAGGCCATCTTCAGATGGTAAACAAGCACTGCTCTCACCTATTTTTAAATTTATTATGGTGTTAGGAGTGGACCTGGCTTGTGATTGCTGACCACTTAAGAATTAGAACTCTCAGCATTCAACACCACTGTTCGGGTTCATGTATCACCAGTAAATCATCTCACTTCCAACTGCAAAGCTTTTATAAATAGGAATATGCACGATACAGATAGAACCCAGCCTGAATTTATAAACTAGCAGGACAGCATAAAAGCACGTAGAACACTGAGAGCTAGTCTTCCCAGGCGTCACTAAGCAAAGGAGGACATCATTGTTTATATATTTTTTTAGAATTACTTTTCAGCATAGGGCCGGGCTTCCATACAGTGAGATGAAGGTTCATAAGCGCAACTCATCTGAGCTCATTTTGAGATAATAACAAAATTTTAAGTAACCACTCAAAAAAAAAATAGTTTAACTGATGCTGGTGCTATTTTGGCATTACAACAAATTCTAAATATAAGCTTTTCACAATGAAAGATTGACATCAGATAGCATGCACACCTTTCTTTTTCATAAGTCATATTTCTCCTGCAAGCAAGCCTCATCTGCTGTTGGCAGCAAGCTAGGATATCGTAATTCGGACAAATGCTTTCTTCGGCAAGCTAGAGGTTTTCAGTAACTTTCAAATAGATTTAGAACTCTTGTTGCTGAAAAAGTAAATGTATGTTTATCAAAGCAAAACCCATCTATTTGAGATGCATTTGCCTAGTAGGATACAGGTCCAAGATCTGAGTTCTTAGGGACAAACACAATGTAAGTGGGAAAACTCATACTCTGCTTCCCAGCCCAGCTGACAGCACAGGTGCCGAGAAACACTAGTTTTCTCTCCTGAAACTTTGGATGGGTATGCCTTTTAACACACACTGCAACCATGACAGTATGAAATTTTGCATAAATACTCAAAGCAAAGGTGGACTGAGACACTGGAAAGCTACAGCTAGCACCAGATTAAAGTGGGGGTGAAGAGAAATTGAGAAGGGGAAAAAAGAGTAGAGAGATGCCCTCTTATCTCAAAAGCATGGGGGATTGCTACACTACCTCTCCCTACTTCGAAAAGCAACATTTCCTCTAGGAGGGAGAATTTCCACTACCCTATTTCAACCTTCAGTTACTACAGCTGAGACAGATCCAAGGCAAAGCACGGGGAGGGAAAAAAGATACAGGGGCCTAAGGAGAGGAAAGGAGAAAAAGGAGAAAAAAAAAAGAGAAACCAGACCAGTCAGTGAGCTGAGAGAAGAAAAATGAAAGCAGGTTTAGGGGTGGCAGGAGGTTAAAAGGCAGAACCACAGCGCTCTGCGGTGAGAGGCTGGGGAAAAGGAGGAGGAAAACAGGGCTCTGAGGGGCTGAACCGCTCTGCTGTCCCACAGGGCGCGGAGGCGGCCGGGACCGGTCCCCCAAGTACAAGGAACACAACAGGGCAGCAGCGAGGTTAAGGCTTATTGACACGTTAAAATCCGGCCTTGTGCATGTTTTTTTCAACAAAAAAAAAAAAAAAAAAGAACCCCCACAGTCCCCCAAGTACAAGGAACACAACAGGGCAGCAGCGAGGTTAAGGCTTATTGACACGTTAAAATCCGGCCTTGTGCATGTTTGTTTCAACAAAAAAAAAAAAAAAAAGCAACCCCACAGCAGGCTCGTTCAGCTGTAGTCAGTCAGGGGAAGCTTCTAAGCGAATGTAAACAAAACTACTGCTGAAACAAAGCAGCATCTCGGCGTCGACACGCGTTAGGGCAGCGCCGACGCGCCTCGCCGTGCGACCTCAACTGCCCCGACGCTGCCTCAAACGCCGACCCCGCCAGGAAGACCCCCCGGGCGCCACCGCCGCGCAGCGCGGGAGAGGACGCTCCAGCCGAAGGTCGCGGTCCGAACACGGTTATGGAGCCCCGTGAACGGCAGGAGACCGGTCTGAGAGCCACGACGCCCCGTCCTGTCCGAGAGCCTCGTCCCGGGGCCCGGTTCGTTACCACAGCGGCGGCCTCAGCTCAGGGTTCCCCTCGCCCCGGGCCGGGCAGCTAATGGGGGGGTGGTAGTGTGAGAGGAAAAAAGCGGGAAACGGGGCCGAACGGGGAGGCGGCGGGGGGGGGGCTCACCCTGCGCCCTGGCGCCAGCCCTCCTCAACCCTGCAGAAGCCCCGGCCTCGACCGCAAAGCCTTCCCTTCACACCTCCGGGCCCTGACTCGGAGGGAGGAGCCTTTTTCACTGCGTTGTCAGAGCGCAGCTCCCCTGCGGCGTGAGGAGAACCACCATGACAGACCAGGACACAGCAGCAGTTGGGCAAATCTCTCCAATTTCTCCCCCTGCCGTGAGGGTCAGGGTTTTTTTTATAATTATTGTTTTAGTACAGCAGTTGTCTATCAGGTTGCCCCGGTACCGTGGCTATTTTCCCACATTAGCACCCATGACTGCCCAACAGGTTGAAAACCCAGGCAGCCCTCACAGGTAAGTTTATTTTGTGGGTTTGGGTGGCCAAGCCAAAGGTGCAGGAGTAATTCCAGACAGACGCTCCACACGTTTTCCTGGAGCAATGTAATGACTCGTGTTCTGTACTTGTAGGTTTGCCTGCCTTTTGCTCAGTGAAATTCAGGTCTAAGGGCCATCTGCCAGCCTGACTCCACGGGGAGGAGACCAGCTTTTATCCAAATGCTGTGGTAACCTCTGCTGGCTGATCCTCGCTGTTACACCGGTTGAGACATGCTACTACAAGTAAGCTTGTAGGCTGACACAAGAAGTTGAGCAGATTAAAAGACATCAGAAGAGGTACATTACATTTGCTTACTCATACTTTTGTATGCGTTTGCTACTACAGAGGATGGGGATTTTTTAATTTAATGTGTACTTTTAAGGCATCAGCGATTTAGATAAATTAGGACCCTGTTCATCCATGCATGAACATGTTTATTTCCTCACATAGCACAACTTTTATCATTAAGCAGCTCTGCAACTGTAGTTTGCAAATAGTCTACATTCTTCAGTTTGAAGATGTGGATACAGCATACCCAGTGTCATTTTACAGAGCTGATAGAAGCATTTTTATGCATATGACAATGTCAGTAGCTTAGGATGCTGGTGTGGCTGGGCACCTGTGACTTACACTCAACCTTAACCAACTTCTTCAAATAGTGATTTATTTTTGTGTGCGTGTGTGTAAGACAGGTATTATTCATATGAATAGGTACATTAAAGGCTCCAGGTGAGGCCATGGTCAGAAGTCATAGGAACTACAAATGTAGAGTTGTCTTTTTGCTCTGAGGAGTTTAAAATCTAAACAAATTTTGTGCAGGACAGGAACAGAATGCAGACAATTGACATATGATTCTTATTAGCGTGCCTTACTCTGTAGGTGCATGCAGAGAGACAGAAAATACACTGGATAAGTGAGAGCTGGATTTTATTGGAAGCTTCCATTAAACTGGCAAGAAATCAGGTGCTAATCCTCATTTCAACCATTAATAGTAGAAACAAATTAATTGTAATCTCAGAGGTGAACTAACACCTGCCTCCCATTCCATTTGCAACTATAGCTTGTGGTCTTCTATCCCCTTAATTGAAATACATACTAGAAAAGCTTCTACAAGGCAAGCTTTTCAGCCAGAATTAATTTCTTTCTTTTCTCTACTCTGCAACTTTGTCTTATTTCACCATAGGCGAAACAGCAGACCACAGCAACAAACATGCTTCAATCTGAAAGCATCCTGAGAATTCTTGCTTAAGACCTATACTTCTAATCTACTAAGAACCGTGATTTCTAAGAAAAATCTGTGGCCATATGACTGCCTCAAAAATGGAAAACATGTAGACAATATGCATGTTGCTACAAGTCAGACCTTATTTGACAAAAATATTAGATAGGACTGCCTGTTTAATTAGATATGGCTCAAAAATGAAGAACTAAGTACTTTCCCATCTTCCCTGCAGGTTTTGAAGTTGGCATTTTTCCCCGTCTGCCTATAGTTAGTTGTTTGCCTCTGGTTGTGAAGAAATGCAGAGGACTTATTAAAGCACCAATAATTTGCTGAACTCCATCTTTTGTGGAACTTGCTGAGTTAGCGAATTCCTTTTCACCTCCTCCCCCACCTCTCCTTGACTAGAAGAGCTGAAGAACAAATATCACATTATGGTGCTAGGTTAAAGAACTAGTGTGTTTGCAGTTTAAGTGACTAGAACAAGACAGAACAAATCCTAAAGCTCGAGCCTGTGCAGCTACATGATGAGGGAAGTCAATACAGTGTTTGCTTTTTAAAAGCATATCAGAACAAAGACTCATGCTTAGAATTTGCTGTGCTTAGTGCTTTATATTCCAAAATTGACTACTAACATGGTTTGTTAGAAAGTTCTCCAAGTGATTAAAGCCTGAACACTTACAGGATATAGAGAGAATTGCCACTGCAGTGAGTGAGATTCTGAGAATGCAGAAACCATGATCCCAACTCATCAACTGCTGGCCTCAAGCCTGAAGTTTGCTTTTGCCTTTTCAGAACTCCAGCCCATCACAATAAGAATTTTTATCCAATTCTCCATGTACCATCCCAAGGGAGCAGTACAGCAGGTTCTTTCAAGGCCAATGGCTCAAGTTTAAATTCAGCTAAGATGGCAGTTACTGCTTTGCCCTTCTGCCACAGATTACTCTTTCCAAATTGGTACAGCCAAATACTATACCTGTTCCTCATTAGATGTCAGCTGGTACCATTTTTCACTAGCATTAATATTCCTGTAAACTACAGAAATCAAGGAGTACACAACCCATTCAATTATCCCCAGCATTGACCTCAGTGCAGATAAGCAGAGCTAGTCGTTCCATCAAGGGCTCTCACTAAATCTGCTGCCAAACACAAGTCAACAACCTGAGTCTCTTAGCTGACAAACAGAAAGGAGATGTCAGACAGCCACTGACAACCACAGAGTCACCAAGCTTTTTTGCAAGAGGGATGAACATCACTTAAACCACACAGTAGTATTACCAGGAAGCACAGATTTGACATTTCTCATCATATCTTCACAACATGAAGCAATTATTTGCATTCCTTTCCCTGCTCAATCCACTTTTGCAAAGGACCAGATCTTTCTGTGCACCACAGAGAAGCATGCTCTTTTCTTGGATTGAAACGAAATAGATTTCCTGTCTGCCTCTACTCGCTTGCCTTTATTACACATATTCAAGTTAGTATCCCTCTCTGCTCCGCTGCATTCTTCAAGTTTACATTTTGGTACAGTTGCCTTGTAGTTCAAGGAAAGACATGACAACAGGCAGTATTTTGGAACACAGATAAGTTTTTAATGATTTAACATATAGTATAGACACTAGTTGAACAGCTCAACAACCAGGGAGGGAGGATGCCGTTTCTGTCCCATTGAACGGACAATGGTCACAATGCACTTCTGATCACATCCTGTTTTTCTAGAAGAGAAGGGGGCCAGGAATTCCCACTAACGTTGTCTGAATTAGGTTTGTTCTTATGATTTCTTACAATTACTGCTTCAAGCGGTGGTATCACCTGATAAAGAATTAATACCAAGTTGAAAAAGAAAGCAAGAGTAAGCCATCAGTGTCTTGATATCAGCAGTCGTGGTGCAAAAACATGAAGTGCTAGAATACATCTCAGCAGGAATGGTGTAACAGACCAACCTGATGGCCTTCCCTGGGGAAAACTGTTATGAAGTGCTGGAACAGGGGTGAAGAATCTGTTTAACACTGAAAAGAGAAGTAACCTCTGCTACCCTCTGAAGACAGCCTTTCACACTGCATCTTCACACTGTATCACATCTGCTGCAGCAAGTTGCCATAGGATGGCAGCAAAGGGGAGACAGATTTTCTGCTGGATAAACTGCTATCACTAAAGCTTTTAAGCTTTTGGAGAAACAAGATTTTCAAGAGAATCTGCTGACAGAACCATTATCTCACTTGATGACTTCTGGGAAAGAACAATGAAAACAATGCAAGTGGATTTTATCAGATGGCTGATAACACTACTTGTTTATATCATATGTAATTGCAATAGCATTCTACAGATCTTTTGCACCAGGATACTCCACCACTGTGCTTGGGTTGTTTGTTTGTTGGGTTTTTTTTAAAGCCTCTGTAGATTGTTTTATTTCAGTCAGGGGATAGGAAGTATCAGTTTAAATAAGCATACACAAAGTCAAAATCATGGAGGAGATGGATGGTGTAAAAACAAGAGAAATGAGGCGCTGCATATAGAAAAGAACAGCCCAATTTCGTCTAGCACTTGGACTTTGCCCAGTGACTTGCAAGGGGAGCACAAATTTAGTCAGCATTTTACAGGTTCTCTATCCATCTTTTCTGTGTTGAGTGGCCTTAAGAGGGAGACAGTTTAAATTGCAACTTTAGAGAGTTAGGAGAAATTGTGGGAGAACCAACACTGTTCTAGTGCCATTCTGATCAGACCAAAATTCCAGAGTAGCAAGTAGGTCAAACAGCAAATCAAAAACATCATGACTGTTTAACTGAACTCATGCAACACAGTTGTCCTCAGAGGAGGCCCTGCACTATGTTCTGACATTCTAATTACTTCATGCACAAGGACATCATTAAACTGAAATCCTAGAACAACTCCACCCTTTTGCCTCCTGCACAACCAGGAGTGAAGTACATTTGAATTACCAAGGCCTGAACAAGTTCAAGCAAACAAATCTTCAGTGCTCCCTGTCAGAAAGTGGACTAGCAGAGAGCTGTTTAAAAGACTAAGACTCCTCTTCGAGGAAACTGTTGCAGAGTAACAAGGAAAGCGTTTACAGACAATAAACATCCCATCCTAGGCAGATCCCTGCTCTTCTCTCATGCTATGGGACTTTGACAGAATAACAACTCCATTGGAGTTCTAAATGCTTTAAACTCACTAAGAGGAACGTAAGCACTATAGTGACAAATCCCAATACAATTCCTTTAGACTAAGGAGGAAAAAAAACCAACCAATTTTAGTCAGGATCTAAAATATCCTTTCTACCTGACGTAACAAAACAGTGACTGAAAGGCATCAACAACTACCTATGCAAAGCATCAGTACTTTCAGCTAGTAATCCATATAAAATGAATAAATAATTCATAATTACATATGTAGTGTACACCATGCATGTCAAGAAGTGCTCCAGAGAGAGAAGCACAACCAGGCATGCTTTACCCTCTAAAAAGCAAAAGTCCTCCAATTATTACTGTCACTCTGGAAAGTCTCTGGACTGCAGAGACACAATTGAACCTCCACGTGCAGCTCCAAAGCTACATTAGGTATTTTTCCTATGATGTTTTACAGCCTAGATCGACTCTGTGCATCCTAAAATTTAGAGGAAGTATTCAAAGAATGTACTAGTACTCTAGTACAGTACTAGTACCTCGTACTCTAAAGCAGGTGCATAACAAACTGAAGAAAGCAAGATTCAATCCCGGAGAACTTAAGTCCCTTGCTTACACTGTACACCTCTGGGTTTGTCCCCAGAAACAACATAAGCCATTTACACTGAGGGTCCTGTAAAGCAGCAGCTGTTGTCTTGCTCTTTTGGATTCTAGTCTCCAGTTCCTTCCCTTTGTTGCTTAGATCATGCAGCTTTCAAACAGGCAGAAGCTCTGGGGGATATTCACCATAGCAGTATTTTGCAATTGGATCTCTGTAGGTGTTTTCATGCTGTACACTCTGTCAGGAAGAGGAGGAGAAGCTTTAACACATATTGAAACAATACATCCCTTCACTGAGGGCCAAAACCCAGAACATTTATACGTATGCAAAAGATTCCCAAATTCTTCTACACATTAGAATATCATCTGGAGTCAAACAACACTGCACTCCCAACATATAAAAGACAGTTGCTATATTATAGCACTTTAATGTCAAACCATACCCAGACCCTTGTTTTCAGGAGACTACCCAAGTAGGTGAGAACAGATTCAATATTCAAAAAAAAAAAAAACCCCAAAACATTATATATGCTTCGGGAATATCGTCAAATGTCCTAAGCAAGCAAGGCATAATAAAGTTGCTACTTGAGATATGTGCATTTTTCTTGATAAAGCTAGAGTTCAGATACTATGGGGGGGGGGAAAAAAACAAACAACAACTTTGGAGACATTTGGAACTATGTCCTTTGTTTGCAGTCCATCCCTATTGCTATATTAAATACTCAAGCTGCATGACATCTCCCAACAGCATTTTCTAAGAGGGCCAATGCTTGCTTAGACCAAAACTTATAATAAAATCACATGGGTAACAGAAGTTCACCTCTGTTCCAAGGTGAAAAAAAATTACAACATACTTTTTGAGTTACTATGCAGATGATTGTCAGCATATGGTAAGTATAAAAATGTACCGTAAAGTAAATAGCATTCTGAAGCTACCGGGAACAACTCTCACTGTTCTCATCCTTACGAGATCTTCCCCAGAGCTCATCAGAGATCTTCACCGGTCATTGAACTCAGCTAGTCTCTTTTTAGTTACGTACCTCTTTTCTAAAGAGAGTGTACAACTCATCCTGCTCTAAATATGCACTTTGCCCTTCATTTACTGCCGATGTTACTATTTCACCTTACAAATCAGAGGATTGCTTTCAGATTAGCTCTCAGCCATAGCTTCAGCATTTATGAAAATGCCTGCGTGCATGCAAGCACAACAGATCAGCCATTCATAGGACCAAGCCCCATTTTCCAAGGGCACTTTTTGGGTATTTTTCCATTTTTGAGCCCTGGACATGTACTTGTGTCTTACCTGTGATGAAGTCCTACATTTTGCCAGACACAACTCAAAGCGATCTTCCACTGCCATGAAGAGGTTTTGGAAAGCAATAGCTGCCCGGTTCAAGAAACGTTCCAGAAGATGTTGCTAAAGTGGTTAGCAAAAAAGACGACAAAACAAAAAAAAAACCCAAACACAAACACCGTACTTCAACAAGGAGTAATCAAAGCCCACCTTAACCTACACAGCTCAAGTATCAGAGGAATAGTAAGCAACCCCACTTAGAATTTCTAGCAAGCACTGAAAGGTTAACACATCACAGAACCCCAGCAGTAGGAGGAGAATCTAGGAAGTGGTTAGCAAAAGAGACGACAAAACAAAAAAAAAAACCAAACACAAACACCGTACTTCAACAAGGAGTAATCAAAGCCCACCTTAACCTACACAGCTCAAGTATCAGAGGAATAGTAAGCAACCCCACTTAGAATTTCTAGCAAGCACTGAAAGGTTAACACATCACAGAACCCCAGCAGTAGGAGGAGAATCTAGAGAAGCTAACAGAACACAGCGAAGTGCTAATTGCAAAACTGATATGGGCTGGAGTAGCTTTTCTGCAATCATTTCCCTTCAGCAAATGTAATTCCCCTGAAGCTGAAACATTTTGCAAGGCTCCCAGTATTTCCTCTCAAAGGTGGGAAGGATGAATTTTTTTAAAGTTTTATTTATAGCTTGCCATACAATCCTTGCAGGCTTTCCTCATCCTTCCAAGAAAAGGAACTGTCCCCTCTAAGGGAAAAGCTCCTCACAAACAAGCACTTTAAGCCACAGAGGAACCTGAGCAGCTGAGAACACCTGAAAAGCAGGAGAAAGTCTATGCACCTTGCTGGGCTGCAGGCAACAGGAAACACAGTACTCGTACACACTGCAGCAGCCATTGGGAAGGCAGCTGTCACAGCTGTACAGCTTTGTACTGGGCACGTTGACATTACAACAGCCATTTACCAGTAGGTCCTTCCTCTCACAGATGTAGCCTGAAAAACAAAAACAGTAGGAACAACTGGCAAGATGTACTCTTTTGTACGTTCTATAGAAAAGCTACAGTAAGAATCACATTACTTAAGAACAGGCTTATTTATCGTTTAGTGCATTATGATCCCCCTCAATTTGCCTGAAGTCCTAACTACCAATTCTTTGAAATAACACTTGGACACAGAGCTGAGTTTTACTACAACCTGGTGTTATCTGTACAACTATTATGTACCTACTCTAATATGCTGTATATACAGTACGAGTCTTTAAATGCAGAATATTTAAGTTCTGATTTCTTTTTGGCATAATTCATTGTTGTGATTGGAAGGGGAAAAGTGATTGGTGATGACTGTACCGGAGAAAACTATGACATACATTCTTTCAACTGGTCTATGTCTGGATAACTCTCTTTATAGATCAACATGAAGAGACTTAGATTTATCCACACAGGATAGCTATAATATTCACTGTTGAGAGGAATCCTTAATGGTATAGAACCACAGGGTTTGTCCTTACGGAAACTGTACTACCACAGTGTTAGACTGTGAAAGATATCCGTGATTTTAGAGACCTTAGTGAATCAGCAGCAAGCATAATTCAGGCAGCGCTACATTTAATATTGATGCAAATCACAGAAGATGTGGTGGTTTTTCTACAGCCTTGATTTCTGGTCAAGAAAGGTCCAGTGCCTGAGCAACAAGCACGCTGGGGAAGCATGTGTGCATGGCAGGAAAGGCTCCATACACTTAAAACAAGTGGTTAATTTGAGAACCTGTAAGAGATATCCTTGGGTTTACAAGGGTCAGATGAGCTTGTTAACTGTGACCAAGCACTAATTATACCAGTCCTGAGCTGCCTCTATACAAGGCCAATCAGGTTTCCCTGATTACTCTCCCTAACATACCCGACAGCAGGAATACACTGCAGGGAGATACAAAGAGCTCTGCAAGCAACCACACTAAAATTGAGCAGGACTCAACGTTTGAGTTCTGTGCAAAGGTAACTAGAGTTCTTTGAATCTAAGGTGGTCCTGGAAACAGTACAGCCACACTCATAAGGTACCGTGCCTGAGCCGAGTCCAGCTGCACCCAAGCCTGCTGTGCACAGAACCAGATCAGCAGTGTCTGCAGCCACAGCAAAATCAATCCAGTCTGAGGATAAAATGCCAACAGCTGAGGTTCTGCAGTAAGAATGCCTTACTAGGGAGCAGTTGTTACTTGGAAGCGCCATCAACAATCAGACAGGCAAAGCAGCATTCAACACTGCAATACGCAGAATAAATTCTTAGTATCAAGTATACCCAGTTCATCTGTAATGAGGAGCTTCCCCTGCACAGAATTCCTGCACTGGTTACTCAGCTGACTGCTGTTTCCCGAACTGAACTTCACCTTCCACATGATCGGCTGCTCATGCTCTTGCACTTGGAGGAGATTCCGATCTCTTACTGTCCTTTCTTCCTGCAAGGAAAGACAGCAATGCAACCAAACATAAAAGTTCCTTCTGCCATTCCCATCCACATGCTTTTCCCACCATTAAAAATGCCTAATAGTTGTAAATTCAAGTGTCAATGGAGTAAGCAACATACTACCTGCAGTAGCTTACTTTTTGCTATACACAGCGTGAAAGCAGTGTAATCCAGTGAAATGGGGCTATGCAAGTTCACCACAGGATCAGCTAACACAGCCGAACTCAGTTACTTACAACCACAAAAGTAGCATATATCATATTAAATAGCCATAGGTACACATATTTCTCTTTTATAAGTTCTTTACTAGTGGAATTACAGTTCACAAGAGATATTACAATAGAATAATCACGTGTCTTCGAGATTTTTTTTTTTTCCAGTTTTGGTTCAAAACACTATTGCTGTCAAATACAGTATCAGACATGACTTTTTTAACTTCTGCCTTTATTTATTAATTATGATGTAATTCTTACGGCAGCATGTCCCAGGAGCTCAGCAACAGCACTTGAAGAACAAAAGTTACCCCGGGATGAGGGATTTTTTTTTTTAGTCCGCCTCCCAGCGTGCCGGGACTGGGACCGCATGTCCCGCCAGCGGG